TCCTTAATAAATATTCCCAATGCTTGTTAGCACTAAATGATCACTAAGACCACAGTATTGAGGAGGAAATACATTGTACCATTTTATTCCCATAGTGCCTCATACATATTTAATGTTCAGGGATTTCTTATAGTCTGTAAAATCATTTTCAAGCTTTCCTTAAACTACACCTGAAGAGTAATCTATGTGTTCTCTTAATGCTTTCTGCTAAAATAGGTTTTTGTGATTATTTCTACAAAATTACTTTTTCTTTTTTTTTACTCCTACTCTGCCACTGGCTTTCTTGTGTCACTTTTTTTTTCTTTTCAAATTCAGTCAGAGAAGATAAAAGTACTTATAAAATAGTTTCTTAACCAGAGGTAGAACTACAAAACTGCTTGAAGCTTACAGTTAAACTGAAGTAGGACTTTGGTGCAATCCAGCATCAGGAAAACAACTATAAAATGATGGCAAATAAGCAGCTGGTAGGTGACAGGTTTTGGGCTAAGATACATGTGTGTATGTGATTTCCACTTAACTATGAAAATTCAAGTCCCAGAGAGGTTAAGTAACTGGCCCAACACCACACAGCCAGTGACAGGTAGAGCCAAGATTCAACTCCAGTGTCTCTGAATCCATAGTGATGAAAAGTGAGTCCTGGAGTGAAACTACTGGAATCCATGTTTCAGTTCCACCACTTAAAAACTATGTGGCAATGGGCAAGTTATTCAATTCCCTCTTATATCTCACTTTCCTCATCTGTAGAATGGAAATACCAGCATCATATGCATAGGATTTAATGGGATGATATGAAATGATGCTCCGAATAGAACCTGGCACATAGAGAAGGCTCAAAAACTATTAGTCATTATAGTTTAAGGGAACATTTTGAGGCTTCATATCAGTGGGTGATATTACTAGTCAGATTCCCAAGTTTCTTTTTTTGAGAGAGAGAGCACACTCGAGCCTGTGCACATGTGAGGGGAGGTGCAGAGGGAGATGGAGAGAGAGAATCTCTAGCAGACTCCCCACTGAGTGCAGAGCCCAATACGGGACTGGATCTCAAAACCCTGAGATCGTGACCTCAGCTGAAATTGAGAGAGTCTGTTGCTTAATCCACTAAGACACCCAGGTGCCCAGATTCCAAAGCTTCTTTAACAATATGTTTATCTGATTCTCACTCTCTTCTTCACACACTCTTCTCAGCCATCAAACTAATTCACTGATATCCCAGTGACCTCACTATTGGCTGCCATCTGGCTTCCCTCCAGCTGTTATGGCCCAAGTGAGATGGTGCCTTATTTCCTCCATGGAATGTTTGATTTTCCCCACTTTCATAGCACTTTGTATTTATTTATAATTGATAGTTCTTTTTTCCACCATATTGAGGTTGAGTGAGGCACTCTTTAGATATCCAGTTATGGTATCAAGTGGGCAGTTGATTCACATGCCCACAGGGAGGACATACAGGAAGTCCTCAGCCTATAAATGGTATTAAAGACTCTGAAATGTAGAGGCCAAAATGAGAAGTCAGCAAAGAGGCTAAAAAGAAGCAGAGAGCATGATAAGAAAAACTCGTGGTGAAAGTGATATTGGCAAAAACAACAGAAGGTAGGGTTTGAAGGAGAGAGTAGCCAGCTGTTGAATGTCAAGTAAGATATGTACAATGAAGAGACCAGAGGAATTAGCCACATGAAGATCATGGCAAGAGTAGCTTATGGAAGGAATGAGAACCAAAGCCCAAGAGGAGTGAATTGAAGGAGAATGTGCAGTCAGAAAGTAGGAACAGCAGCCATTTGTGACTCAAGATACTTTGCTAGTGATGAAGGTCCAAGTGATCCAAGGGAAGCAGGTGAACTGAGAATATGGAGGTCTTGAGAAGCTTCTTGTTTAAAAGAAGGCACTGGAGCATATTCTTTCCTGATGCATATGCTCCAGGAGATGTAGAAATAGCTGCAGACGGAGGCCACTGAGCTGGTGACAGGCTAGATTCAGAGCATTCAGGAAGAGGATGGTCTTTCATGGGAACACAGATGGTCCCTTCACTAGGGACAGAGGGAAAGCCAAGTAGGTGGGGCAGTTTGGGCACTGAGAAGATAAGGAATATCTACGTGTTTGTTTCTATTTCTCAATGAGATATTAGGTAAAGTCATCAGCTGAGAGGGAGGGTGGGGCTTAGCAAGTTTGAGAGTAAAGAATAAAGAAGAAAGTGTGAAATAGTTAACTTGAACAGTAAAAAATAACCATGCCAGAGAAGTATAGTAGGACCATGGGCAGTGCTGAGTGCTATTTTAAATTGCAGTCGTTAATTATTTTAATGAGACCTGTTGGCAGAATTGAGTGTTTCCCTCCTGGAATGCTCTTTCATTCAGGTACAGGCTTAAGTAAATGGGCGTCTAGGTTTAACCCTTACAACTTTGCCAGAGGAGTTTGACACAGCAAGAGGGGAGCAAAAAGGCCAAGGGTGTTTGCAAGTTAGTGATTATAATAATGGACCATGAAACATAATGAAGGAAAAGTGGGAAGTGAGGACATGAGGACACATGGTGACAGGCCAAAGGATTGCAAGGTAACCATGAAGTAGAAGAATAGCTGGAGTAACTGTGGCGAAGAATATAAAGGAATGGTTGAGGAGTGTAAGGCTTGATATCAATTTGTGGTTATTGGTGCTGAGGAGGTCAAGGGTATGACCCCGGGAGCGGGGAACTTTTAGGAGGGTAAATAAGATGATCATTGGATATGAGACGGTCCAAAGTCAGAGACACCAAGAATGCTGATGCCACGAGAATGATAACAGGAGTAAGGTGTGGGAGAAAGAGCACGCGAGTTACCGAAGTCAACCGTGAGTTGGGGAGTGACAGCGTTTGCTAAATGTTAGCAAAAGCAAAGCTTGGGTTTCTGGAGGTAACTGAGGTGACGAGGGATGTGAGGCACCCTGAGATCGGTCCTGATCATCTCCAGGCAGAAGGTGGGAAATCTGTTCGAGCTGGACACCCTGGGGCCCTCAGGCTGCCGATCTCCCCAGCACAGGACCTGTGTTTGAGTTTAAGCTCCAACAGCCACTAGCTGTGTGAGTTTGCGAAAGTCAACCTACTTATTCTCATCCATCAAGTAGAGATAAATGTTCAATGACTTGCCTCGTTCACAAGGATCATTTGAGATAATGAATGTAAAAGGATTTCGTAAGCTCTGAAGTACCATTAAAAAGTGAGTTAAAATTTAAAATATCCATCTTAACATTATAATTTCTAGCCTCTAAACTAGAGCAAGATAAATTACTTGCTCTTCTTTTTGTCTGCCACAATACCTAACCTGGATGCTTGTGTTCTAGAGATTGCAATGTTGAATGGTACTGAACAGAAAAGCTTATAAAATGAATTAGAGCCTGTGATTAATGCCTTCAGTGTTATTGTCAGCATTACCGTCAGCACCGTCTAGCAGTAATGCTTTAAAAATTCTGAAGGAAAAAAAAAAAGAAAAACTGATTTTTCTTCTCAGCAAATCCACTGAAGTGAAGAATAAAGAAGCATTTTTTAAGGCTAAAGTCCTAAAAATATTTATGCATTTTGACCCAACAATTCCATTCTCACAAACTTTTAAAATCTTTTAATTCAGTTCAACATGTATACAGAAAAGTACAAAAGTCACAGACGCACATATGGCTTTTCACAGAGGGAACACACTCAGGTAATTGGCCTCACTCATAGAAATTGGAAGCCAGAAAATATTCCCCTGGATGAAAAAGCTGTGTGCCTGAGGACACTTGCTCAGTGTTATAGCAAAAAGAATGCTAAATGTTAGGTGGAGGAATGACACGGTCAGTGCTGGCACATAAATTCAGTGGAACAGCATGGAGGAGGCATTAAAAATGACAGTTTTGAACTGGAGAAGGAAATTCACCGAACTCGAATGCCCTGGAGTCAGGCGGCAGGTGGACTCCAAGAAGCAGCCTGCTCTAAAATGATGTGAGGGGGCAGCCCGGGTGGCTCAGTGGTTTGGTGCCGCCTTCAGTCCAGGGTGTGATCCTGGAGACCTGGGATCGAGTCCCACGTTGGGCTCCCTGCATGGAGCCTGCTTCTCCCTCTGCCTGTGTCTCTGCCTCTCTCTGTGTGTCTCTCATGAATAAATAAATAAAATCTTAAAAAAAAAAATGATGTGAGGAAGGTGGACGCGGGGCAGTAAAGAGATGCAGAGCAGGGAGTGGGGGCCGCACCGACCTCCACATTAAAATGCTAAAGACAGTCAAGCACTGGGGCGCCTGGGTGGCTCAGTCAGGTAAGCATCCAACTATCGGTGTGGGTGGTTTGAGCGCAGGTCCTGATCTCAGGGTCCTGGGTGGAGCCCCACATTGGGCTCTGGGCTCAGCAGGGAGTCTGCTTAAAGAGCTGTTGTAAAGGTGAAGGGCGCAGGAGAGCACATCCCCTTCCCTGGCCTCTTCTTCCTCCTTGTTACTTCAGTGTCCTCATTAACCTGATTTCTGACTTCGTATCCCACTCTTCTTTCCCCCCTTGTTCTCCAGACTCCAGCCACACTAGCCTTCTTGATATTTCTCCAACATGTTTTAGCCTTGGGACCCCCTGGCGTTGGCCTCAAAGCACACCTCTCAGGGGACTGTCCAGCCCCTCACCTGTCTCTCTCTCTCTCTCTCTCTCTCTCTCTCCCTCCCTCGCTCCCTCCCGGATTTACTGTTCTCCATTGCACATAGCACTGCCTGACATTTTATTGTCTGTGTATTTTTTAAGTTATGTTTATTCTCTACCCTAGAAGGCAAGCTCTATGAAGGCAGGAACTGACTTAACTTGTTTAATGCTCTGTTCCCAGTCCCCAGAAGGCACCTGGCGCATAATCTACTTTCAGGAAGTATTAAATACTGTTGAGTTTTCAAGGTAGAGCCATTGCGTCTTATTTTTCCCCTAAATCTCAAAGGTACAATGTTTGTGTAATAAATGATTTAAAAAGACATTTCTGTGGCGACCCAAATGTGTAAAACTCCTCTTTGTCTCCTCTAACTTGTGTGGCAGGTCAGCCATGCAGAAGCTGGGAGCAGAGGTATTTGAGAAGGTCTACAACTACCTCAAGAGAGCAAGGCGCCAGAAGGCCAGCGAAGCCGAGATCCGGGCAGCTCTAGAAACAGTGGTGCCTCACGCCAGTGACTGTTTTGAGGTTGACCAGCTCCTGTACTTCGAGGAGCAGTTGCTGATCACAGTGGGTCGAGGGCCCACACTCCAGAACCCTCACCAACATCTGTCAAAAGCAAACACGTTCAAAGGGACGAGTCCATTCAACACATAAGCTGGACTGTATTATGGGAAATGAGTGCATGGCTGGAGCTCCCATCTTCACTTTCGATTCCTTGTCAAGAGGAGTGAGTCTTGTAGAGGGTAGTAAACCTGTCTGCCTCTCCTCTGAGTCCTGGGCCAGTCAGTGCTCTATCCTCTGAGGAAAGCTTATGGACCAAGTGTGGCTTCCTGAAAATCCAAGCCCCCAGGGCTTCCACAGGGTTGGCTGAAGTACCTCCACAAGGTACTTCTCCTTGAACATCCACGTAGATGGCCTGGAAGAAGCCATCTACCATTTACTATTTCCACTTGGAGGACAGACTCGGTGCCTGCCTGCCTCGGGTCCCTCCCTGTGCTCTGTGGCCAGCCTGCCCCCGAAGGTCGCTGAGCACTGAGCTGCTGACCAGGCGCCACAAATATTTGTCTCAAGTGAACTGGTTTGGGCCCACTTTTGCCCTTCCCCGGCTAGCAAGCAAGATGTGCGTATATTTAAGGACTGGGACTTAAAAAAATCCAGAAAGATGTTCTCTTCTGTGATTTATTCTCCAAGTTTATCCATGGAATATTGAAGACTTTTGTTCTTAATAAATATATTTTCCCTGCTTACAGAATAAATCACCTGTTTTATCTGTTTCTTATCTAGAAGTATGTTGAGCAATGTAACGAACGCACTTATGTAATAATTATTACTGGAGCTGCTAACATTTTATTTATTTGGTGCCAGTTATGTGCCACTACTGGGTTCGGTGCTTATGACTCTAAGGGCCTCATGTCACTGGATCTTTTCACGGATAAAGGAGAGGGAGAGGAGAAATTACCCCCATCCTTTACCGAACCTGCTTATTTACTCAGTAGCAGAGCTGAGGTGAGATGTCACCCCACGTCTGGCTGATTCTAGCATCTGTGCTCTTAACCACTCTGCATGTGGCTTTGCAACCAAGAGGCTATGGCACACTTGCTCGAGGAGCTCCTTAAACGTACACGGGTTTAAACATACTGTTATCCTGACACTCATTAAAACGATGGAGAAGAATTTACTCAGGACTATTAACATAGGGGAGACAGATGGGGCTCAGTGCCAAATACAGCACAGAAAGCTGGAGATTTATTTATTTATTTTTTATTTTTTAAAGATTTTATTTATTTATTCTTGAGAGACAGAGAGAGAGAGGCAGAGACACAGGCAGAGGGAGAAGCAGGCTCCATGCAGGGAGCCGGACGTGGGACTCGATCCTGGGTCTCCAGGATGAGGCCCTGGGCCGAAGGCGGCGCTAAACCGCTGAGCCACCTGGGCTGCCCCAGAAAGTTGGAGATTTATAACCGGGGGTGGGATGAGGCACATCAGGGCTCAGGGGATATTCAGTTACAAAGAGAAGACATCCAGGGTAGAAGAGATGGTCGCCAAACTGACGCACGGAGGATATCGAGTTCAGCATTCTGCCTTCGGCTAACGATTGAGGGCACTGAGGCCAGCGGCCTGTTGCCTTACGATCTGTTATGGCCGGTGCTATGGCCCCGGCACAGTGCAGTGCCTTTTAGACTAGAATTTCTTAAATTTGAGCATCTGGATCACCGGGACAGCTTGTGAAAACAGATTCGGGACCCATCCCCAGCATTTCTGATCCAGTAGATCTGAGTGGAGACTGAGACTTTGTGTTAACTACAAGCTCCCAGGGCATGCTGATGGTCCTGGGGTGAGAACCACCCTGAGACCACTGTTTGAGGACCCTCTTCCTGTTGCCTCTCCTCCCTGTATTTGGAGCGGTGCTTTGGTCTGCTGTGTGTGTGTGTGTGGTGGTGGTGGTGGTGGTGATGGTGGTGGTGGTACTGATTCATCTCACTGAAATCTCTGAAGGTGGTGTGAGGACCAGGAAAGAAGGGCCCTAAGGCTTCAGGTGCCTCCCAGTGAATGCTCTGATTGGCAGGAAGAAGGTCAAAGTGTGACTACGTTGGCTGCAGGGAATTTGATGGGATCAGTCCAAGGATGAGGGAGCATGGTCCCTGTGCTCTATGTCTCATTCCCACTTCTGCAACCAAAGGAGCCACGGGAACCCACACCCTCTGCCGTGCTCGAGAGCTTGTGAACATCACTGTTGTGTGTTCTCTCAACACCTTTACACCACGGAGAGGTGTGGAGGCCAGCACAGATCTTCACTCTGCCTCTTCCCAAAGCTAATGATGCCCCCCACCGCATGCTGGGCAGTTGTCCCTGGCTGGCCCGTGACAGTCATCTTGCTCACCTCACAGCTCCTGTGTCTGGGGCAGGAAAAGCAGGCCTCAAATAGGCTCTTTCCTGGGGGTGGAATCTGAGACCTTGCAGAATTCTGAACTTGAGCATATCGTTCAAGGCCAGATCCAGAAGCTGTGCCGGCTACTAGGGTAGAACACTGAAGGAAACCCAGGACATTTCCATCATGCTGGCAGGTAAGAGACCTCACACCCAGGAAGAGTGCCCCCAAGCTCCCGTATCCTTTTATGACCAAACAGATTTCAGACGGATCTGGAGGAGGGGGATAGTAGCAGCGAGTTATAAAAGTTCCAAAGTTCCTTACAATGATTTTCAAAACATTCGAACAGAATGCTTGTGAGAGTTGCTGGGTCAGAGTAAGAAATAGCTAGATTTTAAACAGCGTCTACTCTCCTTCACAAACAGATGAATGTGCCCGAGAACAATACCCTGGCTTTAAGAACAGGTTGCTAAGGTCATTTCCTCTCCCCATTAGGCTCCCTGTGGCTGGGGCCAATTGAACTGACAAAAACAAACAAACAGGATTAACAGGAGAAAAAAGCATACAAACTTTATTTGATATTAATATTTTTTACATGGCATAGGGGCTCTCTAGAAAGAAGTGACAACCCCAAAGAAACAAGTAGGCCTGAGAGCTTATATACCATTTTGACAAAAGTGATAAATTTGTGGAGAAGTGATAAGACAGAGGATGGAGATTTAAGCTCTAAGGGAAGTAAATTGTGGGACAGTGACTAGGATCTATATGGGGGGAACTAATGGAAAATGGGGGTTATTTTAGTACGTTTGTTGACACCCCATTTTCAAAGATAAGAATATGCTTTCCTGGGGCACTTTTCTTGTGGGAAATTTATGCTTTCAGGTAGAAAGGGGGAAAGCAGAGCTCTTCCTTACATCTACCATTTCTCACTCGCTTTCATCTTCAAATAATCCTTATGCCAAATGGCTTATTTTGGGGTGCTAGATCCTGATCCTCCATGATGCTTAGAAAGATAGGTATAGGCTGAAAACATCTTATCCTCCTGAGATTTGTGCTGTACATCATACCAGGCTTTCAAAAAAAGGGAAAGGCAGGGGGAAGTGCCATCTTGGATCATGGCCCCATGCCTTACAAAAGAAACTCCTTTTAGATCCACCTTCCATTTGGCTCACTGGGAGTGAGGGTAGTGGTGCCAGATTGAAGGCAACTGGAAGAAAATCACTTTTTATTATTACTAGTGGGCAAGTACTTTCTCCTTCAGCCAGACTCAGTCTGGCTTTGGGGCGACTCCAGGGTTGGTATTAATCACTAAGCAAACTGTGAGACGGTGGGTGGGAACTGGCTGGGGGATTAAGGAAGTCAGAAGGTGCTGTTATGAAACCCTCACAGGGTCCAAAGGGACTCCTCTGGCTTGCCGCTTTGTAAAATATATATATCTCCTTCATAAACACCAATTGACCTTTCTGCTTTCTATTTATGCAGAGGAAATGCCATCAGCTATTTTGGATGATGCAGAGATAAGGCACACACAGGAGAGTGACAGCAGTTAATTATTTAATGTATTTGGGGCTGAGGCTGCAGTGAAAGCTCTAGGTCTATTATAAAGTCCGGCCATCACAGTGGGCTCAGGATGAAGGAGGCTGACAAATCAAACAGTAGCTCCAGGGGCAAAACACCCCACTCCTCTCTCAAGATGATGGGATCACTAACTAATGTGTCAGGAGATCGGGCCAGGCCACTGAGATGATAAAGAAGCAAAAAATGAATAAATGAGGCAGAGGAAGGGGTGGGGGGGGGGGCAGGAGAGGGGGCAGGCTGGGACACACAGTAAAGTGTTTTAAACTTCTGCAGGGGCATCTGGGGGGCTTGATTGGTTAAGCTTCTGACTCCTGATTTCAGCTCAGGTCATGATCTCACGTAGTGAGAGAGAGCCTCGTGTAGGGCTCTGCACTCTGGGCAGGGTCTGCTTGTCTCTCTCTCTCTCTCTCTCTCTCTAATTAATTAATTAATTAAATGCTTCTGCTGCAATCTGCATAAGGAAAAAAACACAACTTCACACCAGGTAACTTGCATGCTACACTCACTCTTGCCATTTACTATGTGACCTAGAGCAAGTCGTTTTCTCTGAGTCTCCGCCTGCCTACATCTGAGGCTGCTGTGAAGAACAGGGAAGGGAAGGTAATAGGCTCCATCACATGAAATTGGCAGTGGGGTTCAGCGTAATGTGTGGAAATGCTTTCAATCTGGAAGATGCCCTTAATTTTGGAGGAGGACTCATTAGCTTTGATCGTCAGGCTGCCTGATAGCCCATGGTTGGGAGATTCATCCCTGAAGCCTTCCTTAGGCTTCTAAGATTCAACTACTACCACGCAATCATACCCCAAGAGTAAACATTTTTAGCCATTTTCAGCCAGCTCTTGACTAGAAGTTAGCTGACAGTGGTCTAATAGCTTAGTAGGGCCATGGAGAAGGCAGCTCTGGAAAGGCAAGCAAGGGGACTCTAAGGCCAGCTCTGAGTCCTCACAATGCCTCAACACACCTCACATTTCATGATCCTGCCCATGTGACCCCCAGAGCAAGCAGTGTCACCAGTGCCCTTAGGAAACTCAGTTATTCCCTAATTTCAGAAGGAAAATCAGAAATCTGCTCCAACAAATATGCCACAATAAAATAATAAAATATGATATAATACATTCATTAGGAATACCAAAGCCATTGGCATTTATGGAGAACTGGAATCTTCAAGAAGAGTATTTTCAAAGTAGACTTGTAGGGTTAGATTAGGAGACAATCTTTGAACAGCTAGAAATTTTTTTCTTTCAGAAATATTATGACTGTTTCTTGCTCTGAGAGATTGAATTTTGGGTTCCAATTTACCCCTCTCTGGACCCCTGACTAGTCCTTTATGACTTCATGGGTCTTCTCACCGAGGGAGTAGATTTCCCTTGACTCTGAGTCGGGCCACAGAACTTGTTTTGGCTGAGTGATCATGCAGGAGCAGGAAACTTGCAGGCGCACTAGATTTTGTTCTCTTGCGCCTCTGCCCTCACCTGCCAGCCCGCCTGTCACAAGTGGAGGATGAGAGATGGGGAGCTGCACCACCCCCAGCCAACCTGCAGACGATGGTTGAATAAAGCAGAACTGCTCCAGGCCATCTGCAAACTCTTGAGCCAGGAGCAAATGTTCATCGCTGTATGCTCCTCAAGTTTTGTGCTTATTATGCTGCGTCACTATGGTAGTGAGCTAACCCATATACCTGACATCACTCTCTACCATTTCTCTTAACACTTTTTGTCATGTCCTCGGGGCTTCCTTTTTTTTTTTTTTTTTTTTTTTTGGCATTTGGATTTT